TGTCAGTCTCACTACTTACTTACTTACTTACTTACACCTGTTACTCCTCGTGAAGGAGCATAGGTCGCTCAGCAGCATTCTCCATCCAACCCTGTCCTGGGCAATCCTTTCCAGCTCCTTCCAGTTGTAATTCATCCTTTTCATATCTGCTTCTATTATCCGACGTAATGTGTTCTTTGGCCTTCCTCTTTTCCGCTTCCCTTCAGGATTCCAAGTTAGAGCTTGCCTCGTGATGCAGTTTGACGATTTGCGTAATGTATGTCCTATCCATTTCCATCGTCTTTTCATAATTTCCTCTTCAGCTGGAAGTTGGTTTGTTCTCTCCCACAGAAGGCTATTGCTGATGGTATCCGGCCAATGGATGTTGAGTATCTTGCGTAGACAGCTATTTATAAATACTCGTACTTTCTTGATTGTGGTTGTTGTAGTTCTCCAAGTTTCAGCTCCATACAGTAGAATTGCCTTGACGTTCGTATTGAAGATTCTCACTTTGATATTGGTTGAAAGTTGTTTTGAGTTCCATATGTTCTTCAATTGTAGGAATGCGGCCCTTGCTTTGCCAATCCTCGCCTTTACGTCTGCATCTGAACCTCCTTGTCTATCGACGATGCTTCCCAGATATGTGAAGGATTCTACATCTTCCAGAGTTTCGCCATCAAGGGTGATTGGATTGCTGTTCTCCGCTTTGAATGTGAGGACCTTGGTTTTCCCTTTGTGTATACTGAGGCCCACTGATGCAGAGACTGCTGCTACACTGGCTGTTTTCATCTGCATCTGTTCGTGTGTACGTGATAGGAGGGCTAGGTCATCTGCGAAGTCCAGATCGTCTAATTGGTTCTGAGCTGTCCATTGTATTCCGTGTTTTCCTTCAGATGTTGAGGTCTTCATAATCCAGTCGACCACCAGAAGAAAGAGGAAGGGAGAGAGTAAACAGCCTTGTCTGACTCCGGTCCTTACTTGGAATGCATCCGTCAGCTGTCCTCCATGCACTACTTTGCACTGTAGTCCGTCGTATGAGTTCCGGATAATATTGACAATCTTCTCAGGAACTCCGTAGTGTCGAAGAAGTTTCCATAATGTCCTCCTATCTACACTGTCGAATGCCTTTTCATAATCAATGAAGTTGATGTATAGTGACGAGTTCCACTCAACTGATTGTTCGACGATGATCCGTAGTGTTGCAATTTGGTCTGTGCACGACCGATCCTTTCGGAATCCAGCTTGTTGATCTCGAAGTTGGGCATCAACTGCATCCTTCATCCGGTTCAGCAACACTCTGTTGAAGACTTTCCCTGGTATTGACAGTAGTGTAATGCCTCTGTAGTTTTCACATTTGCTCAGATCTCCTTTCTTTGGAATCTTGATGAGGTGTCCTTCTTTCCAGTCCATTGGCACTTGTTCCTCCTCCCAAATCTTTTTGAATAGAGGGTAAAGCATGCTTGTGGTTGTTTCGATGTCTGATTTCAGTGCTTCAGCTGGTATGTTGTCGGGTCCTGCTGCTTTCCCGTTCTTGATTTGTCTGACGGCCATTCTAATTTCTTCCGTCGTTGGTGGGTTGACATCTATAGGAAGATCTGTGTGTGCTGCTTCGATGTTCGGTGGATTCATTGGAGCCGGCCTATTCAGGAGTTCCTCGAAGTATTCTACCCATCTGTTTCGCTGTTGTTGAATTTCAGTGATTGGCTTGCCTTCTTTGTCTTTGACCGGCCTCTCTGGTTTACTGTATTTCCCTGATAGTTTCTTTGTTGTATCGTAAAGCTGTTTCATATTTCCTTCTCTAGCAGCTTTTTCTGCCGTCGTTGCTAATTTTTCCACGTATTTCTTCCTGTCGGCTCTAATGCTCCTCTTCACTTGCTTGTTTGCTTCTATGTATTCAGCTTGTGCTTGGACTTTCTCTGCTCGTGTTCGGCTGTTGTTAATTGCTGTCTTCTTGTTCTTCCTTTCTTTGATCTTGTCCAGTGTTTCTATAGAGATCCATTCCTTATGATGGTGTTTCTTTAGGCCCAGAACCTCTTGACATGTTGAAGTCAATGTTTCTTTGATGCCTTTCCAGTTGTCCTCCATGGTAGTTTCTTCTTCCTTCAGTAGATCTTGAAAGGCTTGGAACCTGTTGTTGAGGGCTATCTTGAATTCATTGAGTTTGTCAGTATCTCGAAGGAAGGCTGTATTGAACCTTTGTAATGCTGTTTGTCCACTTGTCCAGTTCATTTTTAGCTTCAGTTTTAAATTGGCTACAACTAGGTGGTGATCTGAAGCTACGTCAGCTCCTCTCCTGGTTCTCACATCTTCCATTGTCCTTCGGAATTTTTTGTTGATGCAAATATGATCTATCTGGTTCTCTGTAGTGTGGTCCGGTGAGATCCATGTAGCCTTGTGTATACATATGTGTGGAAATATTGTGCCTCCTATGACTAATTTGTTGAATGCACACAAATTTGCAAATCTTTCTCCATTTTCGTTCCTCTCTTCCAGTCCATGTCGTCCCATAATATCTTCATATCCAGTGTTTTCTATTCCGACCTTGGCATTTAGATCTCCCATCAGAATGGTGAGGTCCTTTCTTGAACATTTCTCTATGATTGACTGCAGCCGCTCGTAGAATTGATCTTTAATGTCGTCGTTGCTATCATTGGTGGGTGCATAACATTGGATAATATTCATTAAGATCCCCTCCTTCCTTGTTTTGAATGATGCTTTGATGATTCTGGATCCGTGGGATTCCCATCCTACAAGTGCATTTCGTGCTACTTTGGACAGCATTAGAGCAACTCCCTGAGTGTGTGGAGCATTTTCCTCTTCGTGACCGGAGTATAGCAGCATTTCTCCCGTAGCTAGCCTTTTCTGTCCAGCTTGGGTCCAGTGGGTTTCGCTGATTCCCAGTACTGCCAAGTTGTATCTCCTCATTTTCGTTGCTATTTGGCTGGTCTTCCCGGTTTCCCACATTGTTCGGACGTTCCATATACCTACAAAAATGTTTGCTCTGGTTGTTAGAAGGGGCATCGGCCTCGTGGCTTCCGAAGGAACTCGGCTTTCACCATGAAGCGTCATAATTCTTCTAAATGAAGACCTTCTAACTCTCAGGGCAGAGTTAAAATGGTTTGAATTATTTTTTCTGGTAAGCGTTTTTTTAGCGAGTTAGTTTTCTACGGGATGGGGACGCTAACCCCATGCCCAACCCTCCTCCTTTACCCGGGCTTGGGACCGGCAGTAACTCTAGAAGAGCTACAGGCGGAGTCTCACTAGCATTGTCATTAAGTTACTTGACAAGATAATTCGGGTTAGGTAGCTAAGCCACGTAGATTCACACAATCTGTTAGCTCCTGAGCAACATGGATTTCGTAACAAGCGTTCATGCTTGACTAACTTATTGCGAGAGAGGATTGGACAGCAGCCTTAGATAAGAGCCTGTCTGTCTATGTGATATTCATAGATCTCAGCAAAGCGTTTGACAAGGTTTCACACTTAGGTCCTATGCAGAAGCTCACGAGCTTCGGAATAATATGTACTGTACAGGAGTGGATAGGTAACTTCTTATGTGACCACAGACAGAGAGTAAGGGTCAATGGGACGCTATCCGATTGGAAGCCGGTCAAAAGTGGTATACCCCAATGCACCATCTTAGTCCCTCTGCTCTTCCCTCTCTATGTTAATGAGTTACCGCTGTTGCACAGGTCGTCGACATTATCGTTTGCGGATGACGTAAAAATCTGGAGAACAATAAAAAGTGAGGCTGATCATCTGGATCTTCCAGCTGACTTAGACGATTTAGTTAGATGGGCTCGAGGTTGGGGCTTAGAAATCAATTCTAGAAAAAGTGATAATGCACATCGGCCACGGTAATAGTTACTATTATTCTATTGATGCTAAACCTCTTCCATGCGTTCAAGAACATCAAGACTTAAGAGTAATAATGAGTCATGACTTAAAAACAACTACGCATTGCAACGCAGCCGCTGTCAAAGGTTTTCGTGTGTTATGGTCACTTCGCCGAGCGTCCAAATCGTCTGACGAGGAAATGTTTCGAATTTTATATCGCACCTATGTAAGTATTGTATACAAGCAGCTAGCCCAAGTCTGGTAAAGGATACTAACTCACTTGAGCGTGTCCAGTGTGTGGAAACGAAATTAGTGAAGGGTCTTTCTAAACACCCTTACGATGAGCGTTTAAAACGCCTAAACCTTTTCCCTTTGTTGTATCGTAGGACGCGAGGTGACCTTACACTAGAATTTCATATCTTTAGTTATGATTTGGGTGTTAATGTTTTACTTTTTTGCTTTCTCCAGAACTAATAATCTCCGAGGCCATAGCAAGAAGGTTCACAAACCGCGATCTAATAAACTTAAAGTAGGGTACCGTTTTTTTTATCGAGTAGTCAATGATTGGTACGCCTTACCCGAACAAGTGGTATCAGCCCCATCAGTGAATACTTTCAAGAAGCTGGACCTTCACTGGAAAGCAATCTGTCAGGATTAACACAGGTTCAAGAACCTACTATCTTTATTACTGAAAACTGAAAGATAGTAGAAAAGCCAAGAACGAACAATATACCTGGGGCATTCAGGTTTCCACATCATGAATTCTTGGAACTTATTACCCGAAATAGTTGTGCCCTCACCTTCAATTGACTTTTTTAAGAAAAGACTAAACGCTCATAGAAGCTTACTAGGAGTGGAAGGATACAGGCCGTAGGTATTCTATCCTAATTACACATGTCTGAGTATGATCAAAATGACTATTCAAAGACCGAATTATATCAAGTACTCGGAACCACTCACCTCCAAAATGCCTAACAGATACTTTACTTAATGTCATTTGCTGCTTCAGTACACTTAACTAATGCATTTTCATTCCTTACTATACAGAAAGATTTAAATCCGATTGCTACAATCTCATTAAGTTTTACTTATAGTCACGGCATTATCAAGTGACCATCGCAAATACAAATTACAGTACGATAATTATATATTGATTTTTAAAATCTAGAATCAAAACAACTCACAAATAGACCGAAGATGACTAGCAACTTGCATGTTTATTTATAACAGGTGCTGACAGAAAGGAAGTGGCTCCAAGGTCAAGCACCCGTTCAGCCTAGAAACAGGCTATCTGGTCCTTCAATATCCTTTACTCTGAAAAAAAATAATAAACTTTCTTTCAGATGGAACGCTTTTTAAATTCGTAAACAATCCGAACAATTAGTGTCTATTCCCACCAACGTTTTGAGTGAGACCAAAGTCTGAGCGCGAAATTGAAAGAAAAATATTTCAAAAAATGCAAATAGTTGTGGATGGAATAGAATGAGCTTTCGATCAACGGGCTTCCGTGTTTAGTTGCAGTGGATCACCTTTTACTCCAGGTAGGAACCTAGATATGTGAACGATATTAAAGGAAAAAAAATTGGTAAATCATAGTAAGATATTATCCTTAGTCCCTAAGAATATATCAAGTTGCCTCTTAAAGGACTCCTGGGAAGTCGCTTTGGCCAGCTCGGTCGACAGTCAGTTCCAGCACTTGACAACTTCTAAGGAGTGGAAGTTGTGCCTACAGTCCGTTCTGCCGTGTTACGCATCCAGTTTCTGAGTGTTACCCTTTAGGTTTTTGTTGAACCTAAATTTAAGTAAGTGTTTATTGGGATATCCAGAAGTGTTAAGGATGCTGCAAGCCATCAGAAGATTACCTCTAAGACGCCTGTACTCCAATGAGTAAAATTTTAATGGTTGAAGGCGTTCTTCATAAGGCTTGAATTTGAGTTCCCAAACTGATTTCATGGCCCGCCGTTGGATACGCCCCAGAGTGTCTTTATCCTTTTGTAGTGAGGGGGCAAAAACTATGTTTCCGTACTCTAAATGGGGACGAATAAAACTGTTGAAGATCATGTAGAAAGTTCTTGCGTCAAACTGATCAAACATGCTCTTCAATATCACCAGTGCAAGGTTTGCTCGGAAGGTATTTTCGTCACAGTTAGCGTAAGACTTTAAATCGTAGGGCACCAGGACTACTAAATCTTTTTCGACTTGGGATACTACTTGAGAGGAGTTTCCTAAGTTGTAACTGTAGTCTGCGACATGTCGAAGATGGTCGACTTTACACTTTGAATTGTTGAGGGTAAGTCCATTATTATCTGCGCAACTTTGAAATCGAGTCAGATCCTCCTGAAGTGCCTGCATGTCGTCTTGGTTGCGTACCTTTTTCCAAAGTTTCACATCCTCGACAAAAAGTAATAAGTCTGACGTTACCTGTAAAGGAAGATCATTTATGTAGATCAAGAAGAGAAGACGTCCTAGTACTGAGCCCAGGAGGACCCCACTAGGACATTACATAGCCTGAGATACAGTGAAATTAACCCTCACAAGAGTAACCCTTCCTGAAACCGTGCTGCTGGGGTGAGAAGAAATTTAAGGGCAGTAAATAGTCATTTATACCATCGCATATCAGGGACTCCATGATTTTTGAGGGTATGAAGAGAAGAGCCACCGGTCGGTAACTTGAAGTTTTGCTGCGTCGACCTCCTTTGAAAATTGGTGTTATGTGAGCCAGCTTCCAATTTTCCGGTAATTTGCCTTGGCTTAGCGAGTTTGAGAACATCACGCGAAGCAGCGTTGCGAGGATTGAGGCTGCCCCCTCCCCTCAATATAGCAGAATGGACCATATCCGGGTCAGGAGAACTGTTTTTTCTTAGGTGCTGCAGTTTCCGGAACATCAAATCAGCGCTCTGGTTCACTACGGAAAGTCTTGTGTAGTTGCAGATGAAGCTGTCATCAATATAGTTGATGTGGCTTGGTTGAAATGTCCGAGAGTATTGTTCAGCCAAAAGGTTAGCGGAGTCGCCGTCGTTATTGGTCGGGCCGTTAGGACCTACCAGTTGGGAAACTCCAGTTTTGGCTTGACGAAGAGAGGCTGTATAACGGAATAAGGTTTTCTGATTAGAGACAAATTTATCCATAAGCTTTATCTGGTACTGAAGTCCGTCTTCTCTTATAGCCTTCGTGTATATGTTCTTTATACGTTTGTATTGCCTATACGCACCGTCGTTATCGGTTCGTTTGTATTCTGCCCAACATTGCTTTTTGCGGCTTAACAAACCAAGAGTGAGATTGTTGATGATTGTAGGTTGCTTGAAGCCTTCAGGGACTGTTTGAAGAACAGAATGCTTTGTGACACATAAGATCGTAAGAAGTCCCAACGAGCATCCACATCAAGTTGAGGGTGAATTTCCCAATCCATCTGTTGTAGATAGCCCTTCAAAGCTGAAACACCCAAACGTCTGAAATTCCAGCGCCTGTTCTTGGTGTGATGTCTTACCTCAGTTTTGCTGATAAAACTGAAGACTATGATGGCAAGATCGCTCCTCCCGAAAGTATCCGGGATCGGGAGGTTGTGAACTATTAATTGGGGTTTTCACCCCCGATTTACGTTTGTTCCAGGAAATCGACTTCAGGAAGATTGAAGTCTTTTAAAATCATGATATGAGTGAACTCGAGACGAGTAGAGCGAGATTATTCTCCAAGCATACGATTGTCCTACTCAATGTCAGTGGTGGCCTTCCTGTAGATGACTCCAACTAGACACCTCGAAGTGGTAGACAATCTTTCTGAGCACTATACGGATTTTTTAAGATTGATAAACCCCTGTTTGTGCACTTCACTTACCTTAAGGTAGGAAACAAAGACACCTCATGAATTGCTAGCTCCTGGCCTGTCAACTGAGAAAATATCCAAGTTTCAGACATTCCTGTCAGATGAGCATTATTGGCATTGCTGAATACACGTACCTCATCCACTTTATTTGTTAAACTCGCGGCTTTCATGTATAGGAAGTTTATGTTTTTCAATTTGAAACGCGTTAGCTTCCCCTTCCTGTTTGTCCGTATGAGCCTTACGTGAATGAACAGGTAGCCTACATATACAAGGTTTTCTGAGTTGACAGCCCATGTCTTTTAGACGTCTTTTTATTATCAAAACAGTACATAAGTGGAATGGTCAGCTCCAAATCGCCTTTGTGATTGATTCTGACGTCATGTGGCCTATCCGGATGCATATGGATTCCAGTTGGCAACTGACGTCCCTTGGAAGGAAATGCTCCCAGATTTGTAGCCGCCAAATGGGAGGATGTGCAGAAATCATTGATTTTCACTTGAGTACTGAGTGGGCAGATAGTTATGACAATAAGCTGGTCTTTTCCAACTGTTTTTTCATAATAAAATTCCTATTTAAATTAAACGTAGAAGAAACAAACCAGTCAGGATTTTCATTATGAACGCTTATGGTATCATTACGTTTATCGGCATTAACATCCAATGAAACGCAAGTAGTTCTGAGAATATCACGTTCCTAATGTGGGTGTCATTTTGAATAATTGTATCAGGTTTCTAATGAATACCGTCATCCTATTCTAAGTATCTATGTACCAGCAAATTCAAGATTAGCATAAAACAACAATTCCAGTTGCGTCAAACAGATTAAAGTGCAATGAAACTAAAACGTTGAGCAACACTAAATATTTTGTAAATCTGTCACAATTCGTAAATGTACAAACAACTTACGAATCAAAAGAATTAGATCAATGAAATTGAAGAACTGTGTATTACCTCTAAAAGGTCTAGACCTCGGGATGGCGGGAACATGAAGTTCCGGCAAGTTAACGATCCCAAACTATATCAGGGTCAAGTAATTTCCTCGACCACTTAAGAATTCTTTGATCATATTCGCAAATCTAACAATATTGTTTTTCACAAAAATAATTGTAACGAATTCACTAGAAATCCAGTGACTAGGAGGAAGATGAAATGAAACAGTTAAAATGAAAGATCAAGATAAAACTTATTAACAAACCAAGTCAAAGACTTAAATGAAGCAGACAGTCCAGGTCATAAAAAAGGGAGTAAACGTTATTATAAAATTTCTGAAGTGTGTCCGATATAGAGATTCAGTAAAGTTATTACTTCATGATCACTGTTACGACTTGCCTTGGTCATGGTAAGACTGTATGTCGTTAACCTACTAATCATTAACTCGGACATTTTAATGAAAGGAAATAAGCTTCATGGACTCATGTTTTGTGTCCTCGTAGCACCACTGAGCTTTTCCGCTCGGTTTGCAGGACAACCTTACAAACACATGTTTTAAATTGGTGACACTACGAAGCTATTCGTATTGAATAAAAGTTGAATTCTGAGAAGCAGATGTCACACGTTTGCTCAGCAAGAGTGAGATGACTGATAATGAGTTTTGGAAATCTCCCATGCACATGTTATTGAAAAGGACAACGGTGATTGACATCCAACTAGTGACTATTGGAGACTAAATAAGAAAACCACTCCCGATCGTTAGCCGTCACCATTTGATACCCATCTTAAAGGCTACAACTCCTTTTTTCGAAAATCAATTTGATTAAAACATATAACCAAATTTCCATGGTTGCTGATAACATTCTCAAAGCCGCTATCATCATCCGTTTCAATCTCTACGAATTTTTGCGCATAAATTTTGGCTTAAGAAATGCTGAACAAACTTTCCAGAGGTTAATCAGTGATGTTCTTCAAGGTCTTAATTTCGAACAAGCGTATGTTTATGACTGTTTAATTTCAGGACAGGAAAGTGAATCCCATCTTCAGCATCTGGATCTCGTTTCCGAACGACTACAAAAACACGGAATGACTGTAGACATTCAGAAACATCAAATCGGCTCAGACTCCTCAGGTTTCTTTGGACACACTAGTGATACTGAAGGCCTCTGAGCTCTGAGTAGCAAAGTGGTGGCCATTCTAGATTACCCAAAACCGACCACAATCAAGCAAATTCCCACATTAAACATCTCAATAGGTTTCTGTGGAAGGTTCATATCGAAATGATCATCTCTTATCAGACCAATAATTGACTAAATTCGTGGAAAAGCGAAATCTATCAAATTGGATGATATCGAGAAAAATGCATTCTCTACAGTTAAAGGACTTATAGACAATGCAACATCGATCGCACACCAAGACACAAAAACACTCATGGATATCGCAGTAGATGCATCCGACTTGGCAATCGGAGGAGTCTTACATCGATGAGTTCACCGCACTCAACAACCTTTGACATTCTTCTCAAGAAGGCTGCTAGACACAGAATCGAGTTTTGAACCCCTAGTCATGTATTGTGCCGTACGGCCTCTTCAGCACTCTGTGAAAGGCCGAGAATTCACTCTTTTTACTGATCATAAGCCACTTAACTTCTCTCGAAGCTCA